CAATGTTGGTCATGTGACATCATTGAAGCCATGGTAACTCATTGGTCATAGTATTTGCAAACTTGGAGTTGTTGATGGATATTATATTATCTTTTTCCCTACACAGGAGGAGCCGACAGGGTCTGTTCTTCTAAATAACTGTTCTTGTACCAATTTTTTTCCTGGGAAAGGGATTTTGAGCTACATTGTTGACAATCTCACAAGCAAATGTGGCCCTCTTCCTTCTTAAAATAATTTTGTTCCTGGCAAACGTTTTTAATGTCATAAAGGGTTATTTATACAACTTTTCAGTAAAATCAGACGTTTTKATTSRTTGGCTTTCGTGTGTTATCAAAGTATAGATACACGGATTACGTCAAAACTAATTGTTTGTTGTATAAAACAGATAGATCTCATTTTCCCGTGCGTGTGTACTCTAATAGATACACAGATGACGTCAAAATGTAGTGAGAACAACAGTCACGCACTCGACTGCGYCTYKTDSGTACTTTTTTGTTCTCACTACATTTTGACGTCATCTGTGTATCTATTAGAGTACACACGCACGGAAAAATGAGATCTATTTGTTAAATAACGTTTTTAAGGCCAAAAACAGCTTACATTTTTTAGTTGGGAAATTTTTATTTTCCTGGCAAAAATTCTTAGAAGGTATTCCTTTCCTGGAAAGTTCTTTTTCCTGAATTTCTCGCTGGCAACCAGTTGTGACTTACAGCTGGGACATAAAAACAGATATATTTGTACCAGGAACCCGTCAGCTCCTCCTACCTACATACTACCAATAATGTTTTGTAGATAATGTCAGCATTTTTATCAATGCTTTTTTCAATTGGGTGTATGAACAGATACCATTACAATTGTATTGGTACTCTTTTTGCATTGCTGAGGAGTAAACCCATGCACATCAGATGTGAATGTTATTATATATGTACTTTTAAGAAGTCAATCATGTTTTACTAAATTCAATTGTAATTGTACTCTTGACCAATGAAAAAGTATTATTTTATAGAATATGTAGTATTTAAGAAATATAAAACGGCTCGCGTAACTATATCCTCTGATATAAACACGGTGGGAGTTGAAAACACGAGAGAAGCAAGCTTAGAAACACGAGCGTGTTTCTCTTACTTCTCGAGTGCTTTTCTACTCCCACCGTGTTCATATCAGAGGACAGAGACACAAGTGGCCGTTTTATAGTTCTTTTATTAAATTGTTCTGCGATTTTCGAGCGAAAAACAAATTTTTGCCGGAAAGCCGTGTCTCTGTCCTTTGATATAAACACGGTCGTCAGCCAATGAGAGCACGCGTTATCTATCAAAAATTTTATAAAAAAGAGTAGAAAAGCCAGTATGATATACTATGCCGCTTTCAGTTTCTTTTGTTTTACTATAAATTGTCGATTTGTTAACGTCTTGTTTTCGTTTACAGGAATCCAAGACCTCCGACAGCACTAAAATAAAGCTGACAGCTTTGTCGTTGTGTACGTTCCCATTATTATACTTCTTCACCTTCCTGTTCTACACTGATGCTGGGTCAACTTTCTTTGTCTTATTGATGTATTACTTGAGTCTCACTGAACAACACATCCCGGCATCCCTCGCTGGAGTAGTTGCTATCATATTCAGGCAAACCAATGTTGTATGGCTGGTCTTTGTTGCCGGGACAACCAGTGTACGACATTTACAACCGCTAATGCCGAAACAAACCTCTGGGACACTCTCAGAAATCCTGTCTTTCGTAAAGGCTTTTCTTGTCAACTTTATCGTCATGTTTAAAGTTCTTTTTGGCTATGGAGCTGTAGCTGTAGGTTTTGCAGTGTTTGTGGTTATTAACGATGGTGTTGTCGTCGGCGACAGAAGCAGCCATACTGCCTGCTTGAACATACCTCAGTTGTTTTACTTTATCACTTTCACTGCTGCTTTCTCCTGGCCTTTGCTCATCGACGGAATTCCTCAACTTCTCAAGAATGCACGAAATAAGATGTTTTTCTGTGGTTTTGTATTAACACTGTTCATATCAGAACTTGCAGTGTACAAATTCACCTATGTTCACAAGTATCTTCTGGCTGACAATAGGCACTACCCTTTCTACGTCTGGCGTAAATTGTTCGCTCGTCATTGGTCAGTGAGGTATTTACTGGTGCCATGCTACCTAGTGATTGGCTGGTTGATAAGGCATAAGCTTTCTCTACAACAATCAGCATTATGGCAGTTAGTCTATTGGATCTGTGTAAGTGCAGTTCTAGTGCCTCAGAAATTGCTCGAATTTAGATATTTCATTATGCCATATGTAATGTATCGTATTCATGTTCCAGTAAGCAGTCCGCGTGTGACATTACTTTTAGAGTTAGTTKTGTATTTAATCGTCAATGTTGTTACGATTCATTTGTTTTTAAACAAGCCGTTCATAAGGGAACATGAACCCAATCAGCAACAGCGATTTATGTGGTAACAAACCTTCTCTAAAGACTTCTGGAATAATTGTCAAAAACTGAGATGAATATAAAAGTCATTAATATTTGGTGAAATAAGTGAAATAATACACTCCTCCTTTTTATTGCATGTACTGAAATAGATCAGTCGTCGATTAATTTACTTTAGCATACTAAAGTATTAAATGTTCGTATTGAAATGAAATGGTTAAAAATAAAGAAGAAATGAAAACCAGTTTGTATTCACTATGCTGCTTGAATTTAATTATTTGCGATAAAAATTATTGATTGGCTGATTGATTGATTTATTGATCGATCGATCGATCGATCAATTGATTGATTGATTGATTGATTGCCAAAAATGATTTAACTATATATACACCTAATTGGAAAAGACGTATTCGGATTCAAAAAGGCTGCATCAGCTAAGCTAAGACCGAAAAGGATCATGGGAAAGCAAATATTACGAGTTCAGTGTCAAAAGATTGCCTGCACTGAATAAAACGATCTTCTCTTCCAGTAATGGATGTAACAACACCTAACAACATGTGATCCAAGAATTAACATAAGTGCTAGTTAGCTTGCTTGTTTGTACTGACAGTGCGAGTGTATGGTCCACTACCTGCGCGATCTGTGACAGAATCTCAGCTAGTTTTGCCGTAAACGAGCAAGATGAATAGGGTGAGAATCACATAGTTTCATAGATGTATTTAGTGATGCATTATTTTATAATTTTATATTAGCCTTTTAGTGATATAAATAGATCGATTTTGCTCTTAACATTATCTAATTCATGGCTGTAGCGTCAGCGCGACAACGGCAGAGAATGGCAGAGAAATCAAGCGAATCATCCTGTCCAAACTCCTCATGGAGGACATACCTGGGGCTCTTCTTGCGGTCATGTTATGCTGTATGAAGGTGCGCCTTCGTCTAATAATCCTCCGAGCATTCAAAGTCATGGCCACCAAGCTTCTCATGGTTATAAGTCACAATCACAAAGTTATCCTCATTGCTCTGGCCGTACAGGCATGCATAGCCAAACTGCGACTGCAAGTGGTCTTCCTGCAGACCACAAGGAGGTTTTCATGCCGCAATACGACAACCAACCGATGGACTGTACTCACTCACTCACAGGTGAACCAGCCCAGTTCTTTACATTTGGTGGTACAGGCGTACTGTACGCGGGTAGAGCTCCATCTCGTCCAGACCGACGTGACGCTGACTTGCTACGACACAACCCAAGAAAATATCACGGCAAAGCTCTTCATGGCCATTCATCATATCAACAACAGGGGCGCCTTTCTCGTTCCTCTGGTCGTGGAGCCAGCTTGTTGTACTCAGGTGCGCCTTCCTCTGATGTACCATCGTGTGACTCCCGTTTGTCAAAAAGCAACGTAGGAAATTATCATTGACATATTCCTAATGCGGGATATTGAACTAACCATTCACGGCTATATTCAAAACACCATTTTAAGATCTGTGAAGTTTGGCTGAACAGAATTAGTGTGTAGCAACACACACGTGCGTGCGCTTGTCTCTTGATTGCTAGCATATAGCAGTTAGTTATTTATGTATCTTGTTTGGTTTCTATATGTACAAATAATTCTGAAAGTGCTTTGAATAATTTTCCTTTTTAATGCAGTTTCCCCCCCCAGAAAATTAATGCGATTTGCAAACATCTTTCTTAACACAAAATAGTAGACAGACGCTAGACAGGAAGGGTATTCTATTCTAAGATGCCGCCAAACTCTGCTAAGAAGTGTGACATGAGATCTACAAGAAGTGCCGAATCATTTTGAACGTTATTGACATGCAAATGTACGCTCCTTCCAGGAACTGTCACAAGTTGAAATCTGACATACACACGCGCTCACTATTCTACAAACTGGATATTTTTGGCCGAAATACGAGCTGAAGCGCGCGAACTACCGAGAACTGTCACTTAAGTTTGTAACTGACCTTTCGTGATACAAGCTCACGCATACTATTGCAGGTATGAATTGTTATAAGATAAAACACACGCTATATATTCGCTGTATGCTCAAATGAAAGCGGCAACGGCGATGTTCGCAATAGCTTTTTTCCGAGAACTTTAAAAAAAACGTATGTCAATCAGCAATAGAACCGCTCACTGTTCTAAGAATTGTTTATAAAATTGAACAAATGTTCGTTCCTAGTTTTGGTATAAAAAACCCTTCAAACTTGATTAGAATATAGCTACAGTCGTTTAATACATTAATTCATTATTCATGTCCCAATTGGTGCTGAATAAATATAGTGCGTTTGTTTCTATAAATTCGTGAGAATAGTAGAGACACGAACACTGAGGCGCTTTTTTCAATCATCTTATTATCTTACCACGTTGGGCGTTGTTCGCGTTGTGCACGTTAGGCGCGTGTTATTCCAAGAAGCAGAAGTGTTAGCTTGTTTGTTTTGTACTGACACAATGTCAGGGTATGATGCACTACAGTGTGCCAATCGATTCATTATATATTGCTATCGTTCTGCGTGATCTATAACAGAATCAGATTAATAGGGTGAGAAACGCAGAGTTTTTGTGTTGCTAGATGTATTTAGTAATGCATTATATTAAAAGTTTATCCTGGATTTATAAATATAAGCGTTTTAGTAAACATGCAACACCTAGACACACGAACCCGCGCGTTCATTTATTTTATTTGCTTAGAAATGTCGCGAGAGTAGAAAGACAAAGCCTCTTTGTTTGATGGGTTGGGTGCGTCTGATGCGTTGTTCGCGTGGAAGGCGAAGGGCCGATTAATTGGGCGCGTGTTCCGCTTCCAAGAATCAAGAGAATTATATATTGTTGGCCATATAGCCTTTTTTGTACTGATATAGTTTCAGGCATAGTGCACTACTGCATGTGCGTCGAATCGATTTCGTTTTTACATAAAGTTCGTTCTGAGAGATCTGCAACAGAATCTTTGCTAACATAAACGAAGATGAATAGGGTAAGAATTACATAGTCGATTCTACGTTGCATAGTTTTTAGCCACGAATGCATTATTTTGTAGTTTTATATTAGCGTTTTAGTGATGCAAATCAATCGATTTTGGTCCGCTTAACATTACCTTATTCATGGCCGTAGCGTCAGAGCGATAACGGCAGAGAATGGCAGAAAAATCAAGAGAATCATCCTGGCCAAACTCCTCGTGAAGAACATACTCAGGGCTCTTCTGGCGGTCATGCCGTCCTGCACGATGGCGTGTCTTCGTCTTATAATCCTCCGAACATTCAAAATCATGGCCGCGATGCTACTCATGGTTATACAACACATTCACAAAGGTATCCTTATTGCTCTGGACGTACAGGCATGCATAGCCAAACCGCGGCTGCATGTGGTCTTCCTGCAGGCCACGACGACCAAAAGATGGACTTTACTCACTCAAGTGAACCAGTCCAGTTCTTTACACAAGAGTCTCTTCTTCGCTCTGTTCAAGGTAGGAATTCAACGGCTCAGAATATATCCTAAACTTTAAACAATCATGGTAAATTGATCTGACAAACTCGACAAAAGTATAACACTAAGCGGGGATAACGAAATGTAAGGGACTATCTAAATCGGTGAGGTTAGTGTTACCATTATAGATCTTGTACATATAACGTACGTGGTCAAACACTAGCTGATTTTATAGTTTACTTGTGCCAAGGAATAGTTCACTATCATTGCCACCTGCTCATCGCTCCCGCTTTACCTTAAAGTCTAAATTCAATTATTTCCTCAAGAGTTATACAGCTGTGAGGGACGCATCGGTGGCCGAGCGGTGAGAGTGCTGGCCTGTCACCTCTGTGGACCCTGTTCGAATCTCGGTCGGGGCGCCATATGTGATTTGAGTTTCTTTCGTTCTCTCCCTTGCGTCGAGGGTTTATCCGGGTCTTTCCGGGTTTTCCTCCCTCTGTAAAAACGAACCATTTCTATCTGCTGTGCTCCGCGTTCAGTCGTTCGTTGCTATGTAAAGGAAGCGCCTAGCCGGCAGCACGCCTATGTGTAAGTGTCCGTAAAATGTGTCTGTAATATAGCACTTCGACTTGAGAGCGCGTCGAGCTGCGTCTTTCGCAATTCAGCACCCATGCTGCCATGAAGGACGATTAGCACCCAACACCTTTCCTGTGATCTTATGCTAATATCTCACAAACCTCTGGCTCCAAATTTCCCGATTTATGAAGTCCAACTTCAAAATTGATTTTGTAAACTATAACAGACATTTGTTAAGCTAGTGAACATGTTCTCAGAAACAATTTCAAATGTATCTATATCTTTCAGCCAGTACCCAGATGCTGTACGATGTATTTGACTTTACCATTGGTATGTTGGAAGAGTTAGAAAAACACGAAGGCCATCCGGGAAAACGTCTCCCCCCAAACTCGGGAATATTTCCTCATCTAGTTCCACTCAATCACAAAAAGCCTGAACCGGAGGTTAGACATATTCATGAATTGCTTAAGCATTGTTTTCACTTTTTAGATGCGATAAAAAGAATAGACCCACAACCCAGGGAACAAGGTGAAAAGCCCTCGGTCTTAGGTGATCAACAAGTGATTGTAGCTTGTTGGTAGCTAGTCATAACTTCAAGATTTGATAGAAAATGCATGCTTTGGACAGATTCGTTTTGATGCTATTGCTTGTTATTATTATCAAAGGATGATATAAGCAATGTGAAAAGCCAACGAAATAGCGAAACTTTTTCTTTTGAATCGAAGCATTTGTAGATTGCATAAGAGAGGTAGCCTTTGGTGTAGTATAAAATTCTTTAAAAAACGAATGAAAATATTCCCAGCTTAGTTTTATGAGGGTAAATTTTTAGGTGATCGCTGGAATCGAGGCAGAGCTGCAGTGCTTGTCTATCCAAATGCGGTACTTACCAAAGGACGTTATCAACGATTCGACCAGGAAACAGATGGTTGAACAGACTCTAAAATGGCTTGGAGCCAGGGAAGAACTGCAAGTACCTCGCAGTATAGTTGAAAGGTATTGCAAGAATATCCTTGAAATTGTGCTGTTGGGTATTCCTGGAAAAATGCCACCAAGAAAACATTCACCTCCAACTGAGTACGTCTCTTAATACATTTGAATTACTTTAGTGTGTAAATAGCACCAATGCACATGAACTATCAAATAACTGACATGAAAATTGTTGAGTTACTGGCATTTCACGATTTATTGAATATTAGTCGTTATCATTTAACCATAGCCGATTATGACCATTGCATGCGCTTCTTGTTGTTGTTGATCATCGTTCAAAAAGAGCCGTTTAACTCAATAAAATATTGCTAAAAATTGTTATAGAATAAACAGTGAGCAAGTGAACGAAGCCACGTTTCAGATGGCAAGAGGAAGGCATTTTGGTGAGCAGCAGGACCAGCAGTTTCACAAAGATCCCAACAAGAAAGCTAAGTTGAGGCCAAAGAGACGTACAGGAATGAATGTGTTTCTGCGTGAAGGTTAATACAATTCATTTTTCTTTTTATTGAATCTTATTCTCGAAATCTAGGTTTTATTTCCCTCAATCCGTTCGACAATAATATAATAGCTTATGGCGGCTGTTTAAAATTATTTAAAAATTCTCACAAGAACTGTTTGCAACGCAAAAATTCCTCGAATTTATAGTGATAATGCCAGTCTTTTTATCAATAAGCCCCCTAAAGATTGTAGTTACAAGAACTATAAAAAAGATATTTGTTGATGTTATTGTTATAACAGGAAATATAATTACTTGTGCTTATGTTGTACATAACATGCTTTTAAACAATATGACATTAATGTCTCCACGAACTGATTATTTGTTAGGATGCCCAGGCGGAGTCACCAAATTGCTCTCGCATTATATAACTGATTGTTTTTCACTGAATGGTACTTCTTGATTCTCTAAGTTTCTCTCTTACTAAAAAAAAGATTAACTCTTTAGTTTACTTTAATAAAGTATATTGCTTTTCTCTTGTCATTATAGGAGCAAATCGTCTGCCCCTTGACGAACATAAGGATAAAGCTTTGATAAAGGCTCTTGAACCCTATGTTACTGACCTGGGTGTGGATAATAAGTGACTCTACTGGAATATACTTCTGATGTCCCTCGTCACTGAAAGATTACTAGAAGTTGCGACATAGTCAATAGAAGGAAATGGTTTGGAAACCTTTTGTTGTACTTCTTTTGTACATTTTTTGTATGTATTTTGAGGTTGAATCAGTCAAGACCTTGCACAACTTTTTTCTTATGGACGATCGAAATTGTCAAACTAAGTGAATTTTAACACTCTAGCTCTGTGAGATTATGAAATGAAATATTCCAATATTCGTTAAAACGTTTGGTGCATTTTGAAGAAATTGTCAAAATTATAATAATTTCGCTCTACTGTTCATTCAGATAGTGTTACCAGTATGGCTAAAACAACAGTTAAACAAAAGATTATGCACGGTCACGCTTGGAAAAAAGTTAACAAAAACCTGCAACAAAAGGTTTCCTTACCATTTCCCTCCACAAAGTATGGTTGCGACCAGTACATTTATAGAGGAATTGTATTATAGAAGATTTATAGCATTTCGTTCTAGTTTGTTTGTATAATTTAGTGAATGATGTTTTTTGGGGGAACATATAGAGGAATAGAGAGTTTGTTTTACATTTATTTGGCCGTTAATGGTGCCCACTCTTGCTACAGAATATTAGTATTGTTGATCATTAAAAGCTAGAGCACTTGGAAATGATTTAATCATCTAACACAAATGATTTTTACATAATAGGCGCGTTCGTGATTTTAAGATTATACACTTAAATATGCATTCTATAGACCTTGATGCTCTCCATCTTGTTACGAAAAGTTGATTGTATGGCCTCATTTTTGTTTTATTGTAGAGATAGAAAAGCGATGCAGCTATATATGTTGATTACTTGATTACCAATACGATGCACTTTATTGGCGAAAGCGCATATTTGCAAATTTGGTCAGTAATTCGTTCATTAGAATAATTAGCTCACTGGTTTGTATTTGGGAATAAATCTAGTTCCTAAGGCTTCTCATAGATATGTTTTTTAATGTGCAACATAATATATTTTCAGGCAATTCAATTTTATGGTAAGATTTGTAAACGACAGCTTTTTAACGTTTTGATAGAGTCTTTTACACTCTTTGACTTACACAGTAGCTCGCTTCTAAGTTTAAAGAATTTTCAGGAAGGACGTTAATCTTTTTGCGAGTTACAAGGAAATACCTGACCCCCTTTTGCTTATATGTTTTCTTTTTGGAAGTTTGCCCATTGTTTGATGAAAGCACACATTCATGCAAGAGTCAAAGAAGAAGCACTGATGATGATCTTAACGATCTCCTTTATTTCTTGTGACTTTACTAACGATCATAACAATGGCTATTCCATTTTGCTGATTTTTCTAAGGTGAAGTTAATTAATGTTGCCTGAAATTACAACTGTTTACTATAATTTTTAAGCTAAAGTCTTTTACAAAACAATCCACCAAATTGTGTTTGAGGGATTTAGTAAGGCATACTTGTTGCAAGGCTAATCTCCTTATGCATTTGGTTTAAACTGCTTCTCTATATTTGTCATAAGAGTGGAAAGCCACGAGGCTCCTGCAACAGAAAGTAGGGGAACTCCAATAGCTATGGCATGAGCAAATCCTGAGAAGTCTGGACTTTGGAAGTGGATATTTCTGTGTGGTCCATCACGACTACCGCAGTCGAATTTCCAGTAGATGATCAAGGAATCATGAGCGCTTGTTCTGCAGGAAAGCCGACCTTGTTCACAGACAAACATGTCGTCTTGGTC